TGATTGAGCGATCTATGGAAACCACACTTACCCCCATTTGGGAAGAGCTACGGGGACAACGCGAGTTGATTGCATCCCATGGCCGAGCTTTAGATGCACTAATTGCGAGGGTGGAGGCATGTGAGCAAAGTGATCACCAGGCCACTAATTTTGTAGCCTTGAGGGTTGATATTGTTGGACTTCGCCGTGACTTGGACGAGCTGAAGTCCACATACATCTTTATGCTTTGGGGGTGGAGTTGACATTCCCAAGGGGGCCACTTCAGATGTTCCAGCTATTTTTGAGATCCCTCCGGCTATTGTGACTGGAGATGCTGCTTTAGCTGCTGATGGTGATGAGTCAGATGCGCCGGAGACTGATGAAAAGGGGTAGCGACTCGAAAGGATCCGGTGTACAAGGACTTAGAGGATCTTGAGGGTGATTTGGTCTAGCTTGCTACAGAGGCCTCATTGCGGGACTCATCGATGATTGGTCCCAGTGTATCGCAACCCACTATTGGTGGGGAGCTAGGCACTGATGCCTTGATTGAGAGAGCCAGATGCACAACAACCACCTCAAGTTTAGCCAAACATAGGGATCTTGACTCTCTTCCTGTTTTTATCTACTTTTGAGACATTTATTTTATCTTACATTGAGGACACTGTTTAATTTTGTTTGGTGGGGTGAGGGTATCCTCATACCTATCCCCTTGGGTTGTATTTGGTTTGTTTTTTTTGTTTTGGATGATTTATTGTTTTACTACTTTTGGTTGTGTTCAAAATTTCTCGTTTATTATGGCTAAATTTGTGAATGTTGATTTTTAATCCCATTGATCCATCTCCTGATTTCTTGATGTGTGAATGTTGTGGATGTTCTCTTACATATTTGAGTATCGGTTGTGATCAATACCGATGACTTAAATAGTGCTCTTGATTGAACGATATGTTTGTGCAAGTCCAATGAGGCAAATTTGAGTTGCACAAGTCATCTGTGAACTCTTAGCACCTCATTGTGACTATTTAATTGTCGAAGTGAGTCTTGTAATGATCATTTCACGCGAGCGTAACTTGTAGAGTCATGATCGATAATTGTGTTAAATGTCTTGTGTGGTGAGGTTTTCTTGAAATATGTGTTTGATGATAATTAGAACTTACCCTGTTGGTCCAATTGACTAGCATTGGTGAATGAAAGAGATGATCTTAGGAACAAAATTTTTGAGAGTGAACCAAATTGCTATTATTCCTCATTGTGACCACCTTGTGAGAGTGTGAACCTAGCTTGGCACCATTTGAGTCTAACCTTTTCTTTGGATGAAACACGACCACATTTTGCCCTTTCCTACCCACCTAAAACCTTCATGAAGCCTTGGTCCGTTTGAATAGCCAACTTAGGCCAAAATCCTAAGTTGGGGGTATGGTAAAAATGAGGAAAGAAATTGAGAAATAAGTTTGTGAAATCCACCCTTGAAGACTTGTTTTGAAAAAGATGGAATCCCTCCATATATAAAAAAAGAGAGAAAGAAAGAAAAACAAGAAAACAAAGATGTAAAAAGAAATTTGAAGCATTGGTGGAAAGAAAAGGGGTATTCGATAAGCCATCCAAGAATTTTTGTGCTTGAATATACCAAGGGTGGGTTGTGAAGATTAAGAGAGTGGAAGAAAATGAGAAGAAGGGAAATTCAAGACATGCTTCATGAAGGTAGAAGTCACTAAACCAAAATGATCATACCTTTACCCTCAGTCCAGTTACAATCCTTGAAATACCTTGGTGATCTTGCATAAGTGGAATGAAGTGTTACGCGGAAAAAACGGGTAAGCCTATGGGTAAAATCATGCATGTGTTTATCATTGAGAGTGTGAGAGTCAATTTTGATTCCTTAAGTTATGAATCTTTGATGGTCTTTGTGAGAGCATGAAATTATCCTTGATGTGAGGGTATTCAAATACTCTTGTTGAGCATGGATTTACATTTGAAGTGAGCATTGTGAGCTTGAACTCTATTTGATGATGGTTAGCCATAGTTTGAAACTGTTAGTGCACAATTGAACATTGCATGTCTAGATTGAACCTCGTGTACATTCATGTTGAGTGTCAAGTAGCACTATTTGTAGACATCTCTGTTGGCCTAATTGATCTTGTGTTTTACTTGAGGACAATCAAAAGTTTAAGTTGGAGGTGTTGACGAGTCAGGAGTTTCGACTCATTTTGGGCTTATTATTCAAGGATTCAGTGTCCTCAATGCCTATTTGATGCTCATAACTTATGTTAAATGTTGATATGAAACAATAAAGGATAAAGAGCAAGGCAAGGACATTACGAGCCAAAAAGGAGCAAAAAAGCTGATAAAGTTGAAGGAAAGAAAAGTTGGTACTACAAAGCCACTCAGCGACTCGCCGAGTGGACCTTCAGCTTGCCTAAAGTTCCAGCTTGCCAGCCCATGGATGAAACTAACTTGGCGAGAAGACAAGTGATTCGACGACATGCCGAAGAGATCGGTGATGACGATTTAGCTCACCGAAAGTTACAAAATTCTTTGATGAAAAAGGCAAGCTAAAGAAATGAAAGGAGCAACTCGGTGGATTGCCGAACTGGTGGGTAACCCGACTTACCTTGCCGAGTTGACTCTTTGTTGTAATTTTGGGAATGTATAAATGCAATTTTGAAAAGAGGAGAAGGAATTCCCACATTGTTGTCTTCTGGGTTTTTGAGTTTTTACATTTTGGAGTAGAGATTTAGAGATTGTGAGATTTTTAGCTTCAATTTCAGCATTTGGGAATTGCATATTGTTGTCAAATAAGATGGAAAATTTTGTTGGTAACGATTTATCATTTTTCAATATGTTTTGCTAAACCCCTTTCCTTGGGGTGTGATTATATAGTTGAATGCATTAACTAGTGTAAAGATCCAGAAACTAGTAGACTAAACTAGGGATAAGTGTGTGAGGGCTAGAGCCAAGAAGGAGGTTTCGACAGCATAGTTTTTCCCAAGCACCCAACCTTACCACGAGTAGTGGGAGGTATTGTGGTGGGGAGGCAGTAGCCATGCCAACACGGCCCCAAAAGTTCACCCTCCCCACAAGCCACTTGACAGCTCGTGAAGGCCACCACGATCGTGGGAGGGGTCGTGGTCTTGACTTGGCCATGTGGGGGTCAAGGCATGGCAACGCTAGCCACTGGTCCATGGACCACGGAGGGCAACACGACTCGTGGTAGGAACCACAACCATGGGAAGGGTCGTGAAGATGACTTAGCATCTAGGGGGTTAAGGGAGGGGATGCCTAGCTACTGTTCCATAGTCCACGAAGGGGACCAGGGCTCATGGTGAAGACCACAACTTGTGGGACCCCACGTGGTCCTTGGGCAGCGCACTGTAAGTTGAGGGTTATTTGGGTAATTCTGATTTTAATTAAAACAAAGTGAGGTTGTTTTGCCTAAGCTTAGTACACCAATATATGTGATTTTAACTCTATAACCCATTCAAGTCATTATTCCCAAAACCCAAAATAAATCCCCAAAAGCTCTCCTCTAAAATATTTCTCTCTCTAGAAACTAGAAGAAGAAGAACAAGAAGAAGGAAGTTCAAGCTAGGATCAAGGTCAAGTCTCAATTCCTCCATTGAATATTAGAATTGGGCTTTGTTGTTAAGGTATGATAACTTTCATCCATGGACATCTTCCATCCATGGGGTTCCTTCAAAATCCAATTTCAAAAAGATAGAAATCCCAAATTGTTAGGGTTTGAATCAAAAGTCATGGTTTCCTTCCAAACATAGTTCTAATGATTGAATTATGTTATATTAATCATGGATTGATGATTTCCTATGGTTTTTATTAGGTATCCCTAAGAACACATGCAATTCTCATATTTCTCAATTGTGATCTTAAGATGTGGGTCTTTGTTGATGAAAGATAAATTTTATGAATTGATGTATGAAGTGATAGGATCACATGAAATAATGATGAAATCTTTATCTAATGTTTGGATTTTAGATGTGGTGATTGAAAGTAGGTTTTGAACCTTGAAAGAGTAAGTATGAGTTTATGCTTGTCTTTATAAAATTCATGTAAATGCTTTAAGGATGCTTTGAGAGTTAAATGTCAATGATTATGATACTGTTGTGGTGTTGATTGAAAGGACATTCTCATGAACACATAATTAGCATGATGTGAAATGTTTTCTCATATAATGAAGATTCTAAGGTTGAAAGGCTTTTCTCACCTAATTGAATCTAAAAGTAAAAGTGATCATGGATGGTGATAAGTTGCTCACGCATGATCTAATGAGCTATCCTAATGAACTAATTTTGATTGGTTGTCAAGGACATCCTTCCATGAGACATGAGTTAAGTTAAAACTTAATAAGTAATCCGTGGGATTTATGCTTAGCACCGAGTGGATATTGAAATGAGATGGAGGCTCACACGTAGTTGAGTCCGGGCTTCCAAATGGGAACTCTCACATAGTAGAGTCTGGGTTTCCCAAAGTATTTCTCATGAGATGGAAGCCTTCACGTAGTTGAGTCCGGGTCTCTAGTAGAAATCTCCATATCCCATAAACTATGTGCCCCCGTAGGTTATTTATCTAGTGGATCCACTTAAGCTAAGAGTTACCGGTTGTACCTTAGGCAAGTAGACCAACCTTTTTCGGTGTGGGAGACACCGAATTCCATGTTATAGTTCCCATGGTCTCAATGTCGGTTAAGGCTTATTCCCACAACAAGACTAATAATGAACTAAAATATACTTAAAGAAGTATCTCGTAGTGTTCAAAGGTTTTAAAGATGGTGCTATCTTGCATTGAAGATGATGTTATGATTTATGTTTTCCAACTATCTTTATGATGATGTTTAAACTTGGTAAATTGCATGCTTTGAAATGAAATTTCCCTTTTAGCATGTTTTAAATGCTTTAATACATAGTTATCATGGTTCGAGGATAGATTTCCCTTAACTCTATAAGATCTCTCTCTCCTAATCTTTGCCCTATGTTCTTCCGATTATGACTACTTGAAGGGCTGCTAGAAGGATGGATGGTGACAATGTGGAACAAGGAACTCCTCCTCATGCTCCGATAGATCCTTTCGCGGAGAATGTAACAAATGCGGAGTTTAGGTGGACTTTTCAAATGTTGGCCCAAGCCATAACGACACAAGCCACTAGAGAGTTGGTAGTCCTCGTGAACCCAAATATGCGTATGGCGGCTTCAAGAGTGAGGGACTTTATGAGGATGAACCCTACAGAATTTTATGGCTTCCAAGTTGAGGAGACTCTCAAAAGTTTATCGATGAGGTCTATAAGGTACTTGCTATTATAGGGTGACCCCAGTAGAAAAGGCGAAATTGGCCTCTTATCAATTGAAATGTGTTGCTCAAGTGTGGTATGACCAATAGAAAGAGGCAAGGCCGGTAGGAGTGGGTCCCATAGAATGGGAAGTGTTTAAATCTACATTTCTTGATAGATTCTTTCCCCTTGAGATGAGGGAAGCTAAGGTGGAAGAGTTCATTAACCTTCGTCAAGGAAGTATGAGTGTGAATGAGTATGCTCTAAAGTTCACTCAATTGTCTAAGTATACTCCAACAATGGTTGCAGATTCTAGGGCTAAGATGAATACGTTTGTGACGGGTATAACTGAAATGGTGGTTAAAAAGTGCCATACCACCATGCTCATTGGTGACATGCACATCTCTCGTCTTATGGTCCATGCACAACAAATTGAGGAGGAGAAACTCAAGGAAAATTCTACGGAGGTAAAAAGGGCTAGGACCGGTGATGGAAACTTCTCTAATGCAAAGTTTGATGGACAAGGTCGACCTAGATTTCAACAAAGGTTTTCTAGTCAAGGTTCTTCTAATGCTCCTCCTAAGTTTAATAAGGATAGGGTGTCTAACCCTAAACCTCAAGGAGGGAATAAATGTGGTTCTTCTTTGGCTAGGTCAAATTGCTCTATATGTGGAAGGCAACATGATGGTAAGTGCCTAGCCAGCATGGATGGTTGCTATGGTTGTGGAAAGAGTGGTCACAAGATGAAAAATTTCCTGATGCTTAAGGCAAAAGGGAGAGAGGGGGCAAGCAAGCTCCTCTAAGTAGTTTGGGCCCTAATGCTCCCAAGCAAAAGAGCTTTTATGCACTCCAATCTAGAGGTGACTAAGAGAGTTCTCTGGATATTGTTATCGGTATGTTAAAAGTCGTTCAACTTGATGTTTATTCTTTATTAGATCCTGGTGCTACTTTGTCTTTTGTGACGCCATATATGGCTATGAGGTTTGATGTTCCTCGGGAAGTATTATTAGAACTTTTTTCTGTCTCTATTCCTGTTGGTTATTCTGTGGTGGCCAAAAGGGTCTATAGAAAGTGTCCCGTTTCCTTATCCCATAGAGTTACTCTTGTTTATTCGGTAGAGATTGACATGTTAGATTTTGATGTGATTCTGCGTATGGATTGGCTGCATGTATGATCTGCTTCTATAGATAGTAGAACTCGTGTAGTCAAATTCCTTTTACTGAATGAGCCTATCCTAGAGTGGAAGGGGGGAAATTATATGCCTAGAGGTCAATTTATATCTTGTCTTAAAGCTAGAAAGATGATCTCTAAGGGTTGCATTTACCATATTGTTAAGGTGAGGGGTGTAGATTCCAAAACCCCTACTCTTGAGTCGGTCCTCGTAGTTAATGAGTTTTCGGAATTATTCGGCGATGATTTACCTGGTATTCCTCTCGAGTAGGAAATAGACTTCGGTATTGACTTTCTCCTGAATACGCAACCTATCTCTATTCCTCCTTATAGAATGGCCCCGATTGAGATAAAGGAATTGAAAATGCAATTAAAGGATTTTTTGGATAAGGGTTTCATCCGACTGAGTATCTCTCCATGGGGTTATCCCGTATTGTTTGTTAGAAAGAAAGATGGGTCTCTTCAAATGTGCATTGATTATCGTCAACTGAATAAATTTTAAGAATAAGTATCCTCTTCCAATGATAGATGACTTGTTTGACCAATTTCAAAGGGCTAGTTATTTCTCTAAGATAGATCTTCGTTCGGGTTATCACCAATTGAGGTTGAGAGGGGATGATATTCTAAAGACGACTTTAGAACCTGGTATGATCATTATGAGTTCTTGGTAATGTCATTTGGGTTAACTAATGCTCCGGCGGTGTTTATGAATTTGATGAATAGGGTGTTTAGAAAATACATTGATATGTTTGTAGTTGTGTTTATTGATGATATTTTGATCTATTTGAGAAGTGAGAATGAGCATATTGACCATTTGAGGATTATGTTGCAAATTCTTAAGGACCAACAACTTTTTGCAAAGTTTAGCAAGTGTGAATTTTGGTTAAGGTCCGTAGCTTTCCTTGGTCATATTGTGTCAAGCAAGGGTATTGAGGTAGATCCTAAGAAGACGGATGCGGTCAAGAGTTGGCCTATATCTCTATCTCCCTCGGACATTAGAAGCTTTTTAGGCTTTGACGGTTACTATAGAAGGTCTGTTGAGGAGTTTTCTTCCATTGCTTTTCCTTTGACAACTTTGACTCAAAATAAAGCTAAGTTTGTGAGAAAAGTTTTCAATAGTTGAAAGATAGACTTACTTCCACTCCGGTGTTGACCTTACCGGAAGGTACAAATAGTTTTGTGCTGTATTGTGATGCCTCTAGAGTTGGGTTGGGATGTGTGCTTATTCAAAATGGTAAGATTATTGCCTATGCTTCAAGGCAACTTAAATTCCATGAGAAGAATTATCCTACCCATGACCTTGAGTTAGCGGCGGTGATGTTTGCCTTAAAAATATGGAGGCATTATTTGTATGGGGTTCATGTTGATGTTTTCACCGATCACAAGAGTTTATAATATGTGTTTAGTCAAAAGGACTTGAATCTTTGCCAAAGACGGTGGCTAGAACTATTGAAGGACTATGACATGAGTGTTCTTTATCACCCCGGTAAAGCAAATGTTGTAGTGGATGCTCTTAGTAGATTGTCGATGGGAAGTGTTGCTCATATAGAGGATGAACATAAAAAGTTGGTTCGAGATGTTCATAGGTTGGCCCGATTAGGTGTTCAATTAGTGGACTCCACCAAGGGTGGTTTCATGGTCCATAATGGGTCCGAATCATCCTTTGTGATGGATGTGAAGGCTAAGCAAGGTCTTGATCCAATTTTGGTTGAGTTGAAAGAGGCGGTGCTTAAGAAATTTGTTGAGACTTTCTCCCAAGGGGGAGATGGTGTTCTTAGGTATCAAGGTCGTTTATGTGTTTCGAATGTTGATTACTTGAGGGAGAAAATACTAGCGAAAGCCAATAGTTCTCGGTATTCTATTCACCCAAGAGCCACCAAGATGTACCGTGATTTACGGGAGGTCACTTAGTGGAATGGGACGAAAAAGGATATTGAGGAATTTGTAGCTAAGTGTCCGAATTGCCAACAAGTAGAGGTTGAGCATCAAAGATCGGGAGGTTTGTCCCAAGACATTGCTATTCCTACTTGGAAGTGGGAAGACTTGAATATGGACTTTATAGTTGGTTTGCCTCACACCCGGCAATAACATGACTCTATTTGGGTGATAATAGATCAGATGGAAAAATTGACTCATTTTCTTCTAGTCAAGGTTTCTTATTCGGCGAGGACTATGCCAAGATGTACTTGAAAGAAATGGTAAAGTTGCATGGAGTGCCCTTGTTTATCATTTCCGATCGTGGTACCCAATTCACTTCTCAATTTTGGAAGTCATTCCAAAAGGGACTTGGTACCAAGGTTAAGCTTAGTACAAATCTTCATCCCCAAACTGATGGGAAAGCGGAGTGTACTATCCAAACTTTTGAGACATGTTAAGAGCTTGTGTGATTGATTTTAAGGGTAATTGGGACGATCATTTGCCATTGATTAAATTTGTTTATAATAATAGCTATCACTCAAGTATTGGTATGGCTCCACATGAGGCTCTCTATGGTAGGAGGCGTTGATCTGCTATAGGTTGGTTTGAGGTGGGTGAAGTTGCCTTGATAGGTCCCGAGTTAGTCCATGAGGCTATTGAGAAGTTCGACTCATTAGAGAAAGGTTGAAAACAACTTAAAGTCGACAAAAGTCATGTCCCGATGTTAGAAAAAGGTATCTTGAGTTTGATGTTCATGATTGGATTTACTTGAAAATCTCACCTATGAAGGGTGCAATGAGGTTTGGTAAGAAGGGAATCTTAGTCCCCATTTTGTAGGCCCATATGAGATTTTGAGACGTGTTGGTAAGGTTTCCTATGAGTTAGATTTGCCAAATGAGTTGGCATCGGTGCATCCAGTTTTCCATGTCTCTATGCTTAAGAAGTGTGTTAGAGATTGGACATCCATAGTTTCCCTAGAAGGGTTGGGAGTTGATAAAAAGTCTTTCATATGAAGAAGTTCCGGTTGAGATTTTAGACTGGCAAGTTAAGAAGTTGAGGATAAGGAGATTGCTTCCGTAAAAGTGTTGTGGAGGAATCATTTAGTTGAGGGTGCTACTTGGGAGGCCGAGGCCGATATGATGTCCCAATATCCTCATCTCTTTCCTTCAACTCCTACTCTAGCTTGAGGTAATGAGTTCCTCTTGGTTTGTTCTATGTTTTGGAGTCATGTGTGTTTTATGTGTTCCTCCTTAAGTTATGCATGTTCATGGAAGCTTATGTTTTGAAAGAAAATGAGTTATATGATTGGTTTTCCTCATGTTGTTGTGCATTAAGTATGAGTTGCCTATATGCTTCATGAGATGAATTGTTGAACATGCTTTCGTTATGCTTTTTGGGAGTAAATTGCATATTGGCTCCATGAGATTGTGTTGAGCATGCTTTTGAGCTGGGAGAAGGTAGTTCTTCCTTAAAGATGAGAAAGTTGAAGTTTCATGCATAATGGGTTGTTAGATGTAATTCCTACTTCCTTGTGATGCATTGAATATGTTTAGTTGGAGTTAATGTTTCCTCCTTTATTTTGTGCATTATTGTGATGGTGCATGCATGATTAAATGCTAGTCTTGAGTCTTTACTTCCGTAAGGTGTCTAGAGCGTCATTCGAGGATGAATGTTCCCAAGGGGTAGATAATGTAACACCTCGGAAACTAGTAGACTAAACTAGGGCTAAGTGCGTGAGGGCTAGAGCCAAAGAGGAGGTTTGGGCAGCCTAGTTTTTTCCCAAGCACTACCCACTTTACCATACCCCCATGACGATTCGTGGGAGCTGTCATGGGAGTAAGGCAGTAGCTATGCCAAGTCGGCCCCAAAAGTTCACCCTCCCAACAAGCCACTTGACGGCTCGTGAAAGCCACTACGACCATGGGAGGGGTCGTGGTCTTGACTTGGCCATGTGGGGGGGGGGGTAAGGCATGGCAACCCTTGCAATTGGTCCGTGGACCACGGAGGGCAACACGACTCGGGGTAGGAACAACTGCCATGAAAGGGTCGTTAAGTTGCCTTAGCATCTAGGGGGTTAAGGGAGGGGCTGCCTAGCTACTGTCCCATGGTCCACGAAGGGGACCACGACCCATGGTGAAGACCATGGCTCGTGGGACCTCATGTGGTCCTTGGGCAGTGCATTGTAAGTTGACGGTTATTCAGGTAGTTCTGGTTTTAATTTAAATAAAGTGAGGTCATTTTGCGTAAGCTTAGTACACCTATATAAGTGATTTTAAATCTAAAACTAACCCATTCATGTCATTATTCCCAAAACCCAAAATAAATCCCCAAAAGCTCTCTTTTAAAATATTTCTCTCTTTAGAAACTAGAAGAAGAAGAAGAAGATTCCCAAAACCCAAAATAAATCCCCAAAAGCTCTCTTTTAAAATATTTCTCTCTTTAGAAACTAGAAGAAGAAGAAGAAGAAGAAGAAGAAGAAGGAGAAGAAGAATGATAATAATAAGAAGAAGCTTTCATCCATGGACATCTTCCATCCATGGAGTTCTTTCAAAATCCAATTTCAAAAAGATAGAAATCCCAAATTGTTAGGGTTTGATTCAAAAGTCATGAGTTCCTTTCAAACTTGATTCTAATGATTGAATTATGTTATAATAAGCATGAGTTGATGATTTCCTATGGTTTTTATGATGTATCCCCAAGAACCCATATAATTCCC